TTCAATGCATGAAGCCTTGTGGGACACTCACATCATGTCTAAACTGAAGCAGGCCTCTCCCATTCCACAACTCCAGGCTCTTTTTCATTCTTTCTTCAATGATCCCGTGTGCGCGCACACACACACACACACACACACACACACACACAGAGTACATTAAATCGGTGTTTTAATGAAACTATTGTATTAAGTAAACATTCATACAGTTACATCTGAGTCAAGTAATAGCTGCTAGTATCCCCAAAGCCCTCTCACCAAGTACCTTTCCCTATCACAATCCTACCCTTTTCCCAGAGGTAATTACTATTCCAACTTTGTGATAATCGTTTCCTTGTATTTCTTCATAGTATTACCATCCATGAGTGCATCCTTAATTCATGCTGTCCATTTTTGCTGATATTTGAACTTTACACGAATAGAAGCGCATTCCGTGTTCTTTTGTGTAACTTGATTCTTTCCTCTAATATTAGATCTGCGGATTATATCCACGTTGCTGTGGGCGGCCGTAGAACACTTTCATGGTTATATAGAATCTCTTTGTATGGATGTAACACAATTTATTTATCTATTCTAAAATGGATGGATATTTGAGTTATTTCCTGATTTTGGCCATGATTGTTCTGGAGCATGTATTCAGGTCATCTAAGTATATTTCAGAAGGTATACATCACACGTGGAATTGCTGGGTCACTGGGTATGCATAAAGTAAAATCAAACCATCTTCAAAAGTACTTTCACCACTTACACTTCTATCAGCAGGTATGAGCGCTCCTGTGCCTTTCTATCTACTTTGACACTTGGCATTGTTAGATTTTTTTAAAATGTATTAGTACATTTGCAGTACACGACGATTACACTTGTTGTGGGAGTTGGTGCACGGGCATAACACATCCCAATTCTCTTTTCATCCCTCTTCCCTGCCCCCTGCCTCCTTCCATCATTTGATCCCCTTCCCACTTGAGAAAGATCTCTCTACTTCCTATTGTCTATGTTTTATTTTGCTCTTTATTTTTCTCCCATTCAGTTTATTGGTACAGTTGAGGCATACAATCCAGGTACATTCATCATCGGGAACTTGCGCCATGACAGATCTTCGTTCTTATTTTTTCCCCGTTCCCCTACCCTCCCTTCATCCCCTCCACCCTTCCCTATTTACAGAGACTTTTATTTCCATTTTTTCCTTTTCTCACATATTTTGGGTTTCTCATATAATAGGAACTTTGCCTGTCAGATTTCAAAATTTTGTCAGTCTTGTGGGTAATAGTATTTCCTTACAGTTTTAATTTGTATTACTCTAATGATTAAAGTCAAGTAACTTTACACATACTTCCTGGTAATCCAGATCTTTTTCTTTTGTGCCTATCCACATTTTCTTTCCTATTGCTCAACTGAGTTGGCTATATTTTTTTCTTATTTGTAAGAGTTCTTCATATAGTCTGGTTACTCATACTCCAGTTATATGTTTTCAAATATCTCTCACCTTGCTTATCTTTTCAGTTTCCTTAAAATGCTTTTCAATAAGAAGGTCTTTTTGTGTATGCATGGTTGATTTTATCATCTTTTCTTTTCTACCTATTGTTTTTGTGTGTCTGAAGAACTACTTCCCTACCCCAAGGTTATAAAAACTGTTGTCTATATTATCTTCTAAAAGTATTATAATTTTTATTTTTTCACATTTAAGTCCTTTTTTTTTTTTGACAGAGTCTCGCTTACCTTGAACTCACCATGTAGCCCAGGCTTGCCTTGAACTCAAAGTGATCCTTCTACTTCAGCCTCCCAAGTGCTGAGATTATAGGCCTTAGCCACCATGCCCAGCTACATTTAAGTCTGTAATCCAACTGGAACTTATTTAATGTACGGGGTGAGGCAGGGATCTAACCTCTACCCTCTTCATGCTGTATAGCCCAAATTTCCCAGCATCACTGATTGAAAACTCTGTCTTTTCCCTTATTGTTCTGCAGGGCCAACACTGTTATATCTCAAGCTTATCTATGCATGCGGGTAACTCTTTAAATTCATTCACCCTCCCTAGAAACGTCCACATCAGCGCTCCCTGCACGTGGCATGTGAGTCAGAGCCCTCTGAGGACCAGGGCTTGAGGAGCAGCAGCTGCGGTATCAACCAGCCCATCTTCTGGGAGGGTGCTGAGGTCAGTGCTTCTCTGCAGGTCTCACCGCTGTTCTCCTCTGTCCGGCTCCATTCCCTTTCCTCGCTCCCCCATGGTCTTCCCTGCTTGATTTCTTCCTTTTCCACTGCATTTCCTTCTTCCCTTAGAGCACCTTCACGATCACATTTGATGTCTCTTACAAGGCTGCCCTGGGAAACAGGTTGCTTATGATGGCCGATGCCAGCAGGTGAGCCCCGGCTGGCTAAGGTGTGTCGCCCATCGCCAGTGTGAGGCCCCAGCTGAAGGCTCCTCTCCTAAATTCCTCCCAAACTGTGTTCCCCTTTCTTACTCCAGTGAGAACAGTAAGCCTGCAACGAACAAGACGACCTTCCAGCTGGAGCTGCCAGTGAAATACACAGTGTACACAGTGATCAGCAGGTGCCTAATCCCTAAGCCTCCCTTGGTCTCTGATCTCCCTCCAGGCCTTATACCTTCTGCAACTCAGCAGACTCTTTTGATGATGGGCATCTATGTCAGGCTGTTTTACTATAATTGGCTGCCTGGGGTAAGGTACTTATAAAGGAAAGAGGTTTATTTCGCGCACAGCTTTGCAGGCTAACGGTCCAAACATCATAGTGCCAGGTCTGGTGAAGGCCCCTTGCCTACCTGATCTTATAGCAGGCAGCACCACAACGGCAGGAGTGTTTACCAGAGGGTGAGATTCCATGGTGAGACCTGAAAGCAGAGCAAGGGAGCAGGGCTAGTCTTGCAATTACTCACTAGGTGCTACCTCTGAAAGGTCCCGCCATCTCCCAGCACTGCCGTACTGAGGGCCAAGTTCTAAAGGCGTGAACCCTTGGGGACAAATTAAAACCATATCCCAGCAGCAGAGCAGCTGAGCTGTCCCCTTCGATTCCTCCCAGAGCTGTGTGGGAGCGCTTGTGTGGGGGACCAGCCGTACATACACATCGTAGTCCAGTGGCCCGTACATTGCTTTCTTCTTCTCTGAACAGGTCTGTGGTTCCAACACATCTTATGCTCTCTCCAAAGTTCAGGCTTCCTTTGACATTATGCCAATCCTTCCCTTTGTGCTAAACACAGTATGCTGAAGTGGAGCTACTAGGTTGAGATCAAGGCTTTTCTGGGCATTCTGAATTGGGGGAGGGTTGTGCTCAACAGGATACGGTCAGTCACCACACACCGGAAAGGGAAGGTCAGGTTTCTAAAATACTCAGAAGTAAAGGTCAGGTTTCTAACACACTCAGAGGAGAGCAGAAGTGTGAGAAGCT